AGAAGCGTGCGCATGTATAGGGAGGAAGAGGCCAACTGAGCCCCCTACTCCTCCTCAGGAGAGAGCCTGCTCCACTCCTTCAGCAACACCACCAATGTTTCCCCGCATCACTGGAGAAACGGAATTCATGAGTTCCTGCTTCCTGCCAGCTGTGATGGCGCACACCTTTGACCCCAGCACTCAGGAGGCAGAGGCAGGTGGATCTCTGTGAGTTCTAGGCCAGCCTGGTCTACAGAGGATGTTCCAGGCCAGCCACGGCTACATGGAGAGATCCTGTCTCAGAACAAGAGAAGGATCCCTTCTTCCTGGGGTATCTAACTGGTCTCCCTCCATTAGGACCCATGGAGATGTGTTTTCCTCCACGCCTGGGGCACCTCAAAGTGAGGGTGACTCAGGCAGGGAACAGGGGCTTAAGTGGGTGGAGTGACTCACTCCTCAGAGTGTCTGCAAGAGGGAATGTCGTCTGGTGAGAGATAAGGTCATGTGCTTCCTCTGGACTCCACACCTGGGCCACAAGGACCGTGGGGTAAGGTGGTAAGAAGGGCCCTTAAGTACTGTCCGTCTCTTCTCCTGCGGACCCACTGGTTGCCAGCTGAGGTCTAAGTGGAAGCCATGTGTGTCAGTGGCAAGACATCTGGGGCAGAGACTACGCTGGCAATCTCTGAAATTCTCTTTCATGGCTCTGGCATTCAACATATAAGAAACCAGGTTTTCCAAGAAATCCTCTGACAGCAGACTTGGCAGAATCAGCCTTAAGCACACAGTAGCCTAGGTTAGCTTCTGGTCCAAAAGTTCAGAAGCTTCCCTAGGACGTCAGGGGTCTTAATTTTTGTCTTTACTTTAACAGCAGCCATAAATGGACATAGTGGCTCACCCCTGTAATCTCAGCATATGGGAGGCTAAGGGCAGAGGATGGTGAGTTCAAGGCCAATTTAGTGAGACCCCATGGACAGAAGTAAAAAAAATAAATAAATCTAACTCAAACAGTAACTATAGAGATATTTTCAAATGATGAGGCCTGGCTATGTTTAGAATAAACAGAGAGATCCCATTTAAGCTGGGAGAATCAAAGGGCTTTCGCTGCTAGTCCTCTGTGTGGGAAGAAAAAGGAAGAGGAGGAAGGAGGAAGGAGTAGGAGAGGTCTACCAGCCACTTCCAAAGGAAGTACAGACAGGCACCTGCCCCGGGCACCCCTAGCATCTGGTGGTCAGGGCTATGGAGGGGAAGAAGCAAAGTCAGGCAGGAAGAAGCAACATAAAGAAGCGAGTTGGTGGGTCTGTAGAGGGGACAGCAGATGAGGTGTATGTGTATGTACACTAGTCCAGTTCCCTCCAGGGGTGGGCCACAGGGCCTAGGCATCAGTCACACCCAAGAGGAAGGCCTGATCTGACCCTGAAGTTGGGCCCTGTCGGGCTCTCGGCCCTCTCAGCCACCTCAGGCCTGGCCGAGCGAGCTTCCCAACCAGCCTTAATTCACCCTGATGGAGAGCTTTCTCCACAGCCCTTGTTTGAAGCTCCAACTCAGCCAGCCCCACCCTAGCATGAAATCTGAGACTGGGGATGGAGCCCTGAGCCTTTTGCTAGTCCCAAAAATCACTCCCATTTTCAACATCAGCATGGCTTCCTACTCATTCTTTGAGGCTGTGCTCCTGGCCCACATCCTCCACAAAGTCTCCACTTTGCGAGCCTTCCCAGACCCCTGCGATCGCTTCGCTCTGCCCTTCCCATCACCAGGAATGAAGAGGTGACAAGGGACCCCTATTCTTCCTGGCTAATGCTGTGTAACTTTAGTGTGCTCTTGGGTCCTTGCTTAGATGGTGATCTCCTTAAGGACCGAGATCTGACTGGCATCTTTCTGCACCTCCGACATCAAACCCAGGCCAGAGACATATCAGGGGACGTGCATCACAGAATGGATAAAAGACGCAGGACAGGGTCAGGGAGATGTCAGCTCTTCCTAAAAACCCAAGCTTGTACTCTCTCAAAAGAAATGCATCAAGAGCCAGAGGCACAGAGCACAAGGGGTAAACATTTATTTAGTGCTTATTGTGTGCTGATAATAAATGACTTATATGTGTTCTCAGATTTAGACCTTACCACCAGCTCTACGAAGGGGTGTACTGTCAGTCCTGATTTACTAATGAGAAAACTAAAGTTCAAAACTATGCTTAGCTTTCCTGGTGGCTAATGAGTCCTTCAGAGTCCATGCCCTGCTCATTCCTCCTCCTGTCCATCCACCACACACACTGAGTCGGAGACAGCTAAATGTCCTGGTTTGCCCACAGCCTATCAGGCATGGAAGAGGAAGGAAGGACTGGAGGATTTGGCTTGCCCTGCCCACACTAAAATGGTCCCTATCCACCCAAGGGTGGATGGATCAAGCCCCCTGTGGTCAGAACTATAGCTGCCTGTCCCAAGACTCTGTGTTCACTTCCTTTCCTGGTGTCCCTGTCCCTGGCTCTAGCTCTTCACAGACAGGCTGAAGTCAGAAGCAGGAAGTTGAGGAAAAGTTGTGACATCTTGTCCCCAGCATGCCCCAGAAGTCTGCTCAGGGACATCAATTAGGCCAATGGCCTGAGTGCCTGGTCATCTGGTCACTCTAGGGGGGTCACTCCAGGAGGGCCCTCATGGACAACGATCACACACACACACACACACACACACACACACACACACACACACACACACACACACGAAGCCTTGACCTTGACTAATTAGCCTCAGGTGTCTGTGGGGTGAGAGAGCTGATGTAGAATATCCAAGTTTTCTTTGTGTGGCTCAGTTGCTATCCCAACTTGGCTCTGGCAGAGCTCTCCTAGCACACAGGGGCACAGGTAAGTCCTCTCCTGGCCTGAATTCTCTGACGTTGACAGCTGTCTCGAGTACCCGGAGAGCTGCTGCAGCTGGTTAGAATCACAGGGTTACCCCCGAAGGAGTATCTCATGGAACCCCCTGAAAAACTTTTCCTTCCACTGGGCTGAGTATCCGGGAAATCTATTCCCTTGGATTGCAGGGCTTCTGGGCATCAAACCAGACAGATGTGTAGCACTATGGCAAACAGACAAGCGGGCAAACACCAATATTCCACAAAGCGGGAGGGATAGGGGAGAAGGGAAAAGCACACACACACACACACACACACACACACACACACACACACACACACACACACGCTCACTCACACACGGAGTTTGGCCAGTAAAGTTTCCTTGTGGAGAAAAAGCCTCCTTGCCAGCGGGATTCGCTGAGACCCAGGGAGATTTCCCCAGGAATCCTCTTCGAAGGCAAGCGGCAGCCTCAGCAGTTTCCACCAACAGCAGCAAAACTTCAGTCCTAAAAGTCCCCCAAACTTCCCCCTCCCTTTCCCCCTCGGTCTTTTGTTCCCCCACTGCATTGCCAACCAAGCAGCTCCCAGCTTCCCACACTGGACTGTCCTCCCCCAACCCCAACCCCAACCCCTGCCCGGCCCGCAGCCTCGATCCCGGCCTGCTCACACCCGGCTCCGGTGCGCCCCTGAGGGAGCCGGGGGTCGCTCACCCGCCTTGCAGGGGTCTTTGTAGTTGAGGACCTCCGGGGCGTCCTCCTCGCCCAGGTCGTAGGTGTAGTCGGCCAAGTCCAGCGGCCGCCCGGCGCGCGGGAGCAGCAGCAGCAGCAGCAGTAGCAGCGGCAGCGACAGCAGCGGCAGCGGCGGGCGGGCCACGCCGGGCATGCTGGCGGGCAGCGGTGGCGGTCGCGCCCGGACGCGGGAGCGGGGCGACGGGGAAGGGAGCGCTGGAGGCGAAGGGGAGGCGCTCTCCCCCCGCGGCCACCTCTTCCCGTCCCGTTTCCTGTCTCCCGCCCCCCGCTCGGCCCGGCTCGCTCCGGCCCTGGGCTCCGGCGTCCCCTCGCCCTCGGCTCGGTCGCTCCTTTTCTTTTTTTCCGCCGCCCTCCCACTCCCCCCCCCCCTTTTTAGGGAAATGAGCTCGCTGGAGGGCGGGTTTTCGCCCAGCTCGGCCCCCCTCGGGGCCGGGACCGTGCTCGGCCGGGCCGGGAAGCGCGCCAGCCGGGCGGGGAGGGCGAGAGTAGCGCCGCCCGCCCCGGAGGGGGATCCGCTGCCTGGGGCCGGGGCCGGGGAGGGGGCGCGGGCCCGGGATGCCCGGAGGCACCGCTCCCGCTAGGGGCCCCCTAGTGGCCGCTGTCCCGCGCGGGGCGGAGTGCCTCCGGGCACGGGACACGCTGTCAGGTCCGTTCCTGCCTCTCAATCCCTGGATCAGCGGTCGTTCTCTTAGCCTGAGACTCCAGTCTGTCTGTCTCAGACCTGCTCTCTAGCTTCTCGCTGTCTCTCTGTCTTGCTGTCTCTCCGCCTGTCTCTGTCGCTGTCCTTCCCTGCGGACACACCGCTGGAGGGCGCCTAACACCCGTGTATGGCACCTAGGTCCGGTCCCCTATTCCCGCATTTTGCCCCCTTCGCCACTACCTGGGGTAGGACCAAATCCCCATCACTCTTAGGCGGAAAGGATGTGGCAAAGCGTCGCAACTCCCCCAAACCCTTTCCTTCCCAGGACAGCTCCCGCCGAGAGCGGAACTGAGAAAATGTTCAAGAAAAGAAATGCCACCCTTTGTTTTTCAATCAGGCTGCTTTATTGTTTTGTGGTAGGAGCCCCCTGGCTCGTAGGAGACACCTCTCCTCTACTGGCTTCTACTCTGTCCTGTCGAGCATGAACAGGAGCAGCTTCCTGCTCCTCTGCAAAAGACCTTTTGCTTCAGGTCTTTCCTGTCCCGATGCGGTTTCCGCTGACCCTGTGGAGCAAAGAACTGATGTTTATCATGTGAAGGAGGGATACCAAGGAGCCACCCGCTTGATTCCAAGGTGGGCTGTGTCTGTGAGCCTTCCATCCTCTGAGCTCCCCAGACCACCGACTTCAAGAGATCCCTAGTAGGTCCGTTGACAAAGCAGGCATTCCAAGCCCTCCCAGTGTTGCTCAGGCACCCTGAAAGGTACCGTTGCTCACCTGAGGGGTCCTAGATATAGTATAGTGGTAGCTCTCCACACAAGGTGCTCACAGCAAGGCCTAGGAAAGCCAGGTCTCTCCCAGAAGACTCGGAACCAGTATCATGCGCTTCCTCCTGGCCCAGCTTAGAGGTGGATGCTGAGGGCTTGGCCTGGAAAGAGCACCTATATATCTCACCTGCAATCCTTATTGTGGGACCCTTGGCCAGGCAAATTCTCTGAGGCTCAGTTTCCTCACCAATACAGAGGGACTGGGCTGGAATCAGAAGCCCACAGGTGGTGTCTGAGCTCAGCCAAAGTCAACAGCTTAGCAGCAGCCCAGCCAACAGCTGGGGACGGTGTAACACAGGTGAGTGTAGACAGACCACATCTGGCCCAGGGGAATCAATACCATACAGATGGCACTAGCCATCATCTCAAATATTCCTCTCCCCAGCTCTTGGAGGAAGACAGCTCACTCCCTTCACGCACACACCCACCTGGAAATTCTGGAATTTTCTAGTAAAAGCCTCAAGACTAGGGATGCTGTCTGGAGTCATCTTCATGATGCAGCAGTAGGTTCCCGGGGCTGGCTTATAGGCAGTCAGGAGCTAGGCATGCAACGCTGGAGGTCATTCAGGAAAGTCCCTTTCCTTGCTCCCCAACCCTGATTCTCCACTAATTCCCTTTAGATTGGCCGTGGGAGACACATATGAGTCGGCGATTCAAGCATCTGAGGGGAGGCAGCCAGGCACGGAATGGGGAGAGACCTCTGGAAAGAGGTGGTACAACTGGGCAGTTCTATCGGTCCCTCGGGCATACTCACCCGCTGGTAGTCATACACAACAATCCCAGTGGAACCAACGGAGAAGGTAGCGATGGTGTCCATGTGCTCACTCAGGGCTAGGCGTTTCTGAGTTTCCGGTGCTCCAATGCTCATCTCAAGGACCTAGGGAGAGGGTGTCAGAGTGCTGCCTGGCATTCCTCTTTCTTCTCTCAGCCTTTTGGTACCCATATCTACTCAGAGTCCTCTATTCAAATGCAATGCCTTCTTTCCTGAGATCTCAAGAAGGCTAAACATAACAGGTGTTGTAGGGACTGGTGTCTCACACTGTAGGCCGGGGCCTGGAGGGAAACCATCTATGCGGGACTGCTACCCCATCTCTGCTTGTATCACTCAAGATATGTTCTTGTTTGCCCACTCCCTTCCCTTCCTCTCTAGCAGCTGTCCATCTCTCTGCCCATCTCACCCAGCCCTTCTGTCCGATATACCTCATAGCTACTGTTTGCCCAACCCAGGCCTGCTCACCATCTCGGTATGTTTCTGACTCATGTGGAGGCCCATGAGCAGGGCCCCTACGATCACCACGACAACAAGGACCACCACCACAACCACGATGAGAAGGCGTTTGAGGTGCACGGGGCAGCACGGGATGCGGAACTGGCTCCTGGGACCTGCTGAGTAATCCTGAGAAAGTGGAGAAATCAGAGGGAGGAGTAGGCAGTTGAGAGGATGCCCATTCCTCTCCCTATACAAACCAGACACCCTCTCATACCCCTTTAGGCTATGAATATGCAGAGAAGGACTGGGGAGATCAGAGAAGGCTTTGGGGAAGGTGGTTGGATTCTAACAAATAGGATTTGTTAGAACAATGGTATTGTTAGTACCATAGATGCTTAGAAAGTTAGAAGCAAAATCTAGATTTGGAAGGATCCAAGAGAGCCAGTTAGCAATCTTATCTTCTGTTTCCCCAAGGCTCCTGGCACCTCAGACCTAGCCAGTGTTTTTTGTTCCCTCCAAGCATCCAGGTAGCTCCATCTCCACACCTTTGTGTAGACTGCTTTTCTTCCTTCCATGCCTTCCTCCTCTGCCTTGTGAGCGCCTGTATATTCTTCCTAGTCCAGTTCATGTGTCATCTTCATATTTTTTACATTTATTTGCACGTGTGTGTGTGTGTGTGTGTGTGTGTGTGTGTGTGTGTGTGTGTAACTCAGAGACAACATCTCTCCTTCCATCATGTGAGTTCCAGAGATTAAACTCAAGCTATCACCGCTGGTAGCAAGCACTCCTATCTGCGGAAGCATCCTTGTCCTTTTTTTTTAAAAGACCATATCTATGGCCCAGGCCGGCTTCCAACTCCATACATACATATTTAAAGATGACCCTGAATGATTATCTTGCTTACACTCCCAAATTGTGTGCACCCCCATGCCTGGTTTATGTGGTCCTGGGGACTGAACTCAGGTCCCTATGCTTGCAAGGCATTCTACCCATTGATCTATACAGCCCAGCCTCACATGCCATTTTCTCTGTGGCGCTTCCTATGACTTCCTAATTACCTGGTGATTCTATCAATGTTCTTCACAGGCCTTTCTACTGACCCTATGGCTCTCAACCCCTTTATACAGGAATTCATGGCTGCCATGCCTGCCTCTGCCAGGGACTTTTGTTTTGTTTTTTTGTTTTTTGTTTTTGTTTGTTTTTTGAGACAGGGTTTCTCTGTGTAGCTTTTGGAGCCTTTCCTGGAACTTGCTCTGTAGACCAGGCTGGCCTCAAACTCACAGAGATTCTCCTGGTTCTGCCTCCTGAGTACTGGGATTAAAGGCGTGCACCACTGCCGCCAGGCTGCCAGGGACTCTTAATGATCATAGTGTCTTCATCCTAACAGCCAATCCTAAACTGAGTCTATGAGTCTAGAAGAAGAAAAGAGGCCTATGGAGGATAGAGCGGCAAGTCCAGGACACTTGTACACACACAAAAAACCAAACCAAAAAAAAAAAAAAACCCATACAAAATGACACTCACCGGGGGACTCTCCATCAAGACCTCTTTGCTACCCACATCCATTTTGTAGGCTCTCTCGTCTTCTCGTCTATCTGGTGTGGCCAGTGTCTTATATATATCATCAGAGAGGGGGGACAGAGGTGAAGGACCGGCTCTCCTGTCTGCCAGCCAAGTCCTTGGCTTTGAAGCTTGTTTGTTCCTGGCTTTTAGAGCCGAGGCCCTGATAAGCCAGCTGCAAGAGCCCCCAAGGGCCCTTGGCCTAGGCACATGAATCCTCTTGGCCCCGACAAGAGCAAACCTGGGTGAGGTGAGCAAACTCACCCTCAGGCCACCTGCTTCTCTCACCGTGGGTGTCTTTCTGGCATGTCTGCCTCTCTTGCTGGCACCTGCCCCTGCAGCCCTGTGGCTTCTCTTCTTTTGACAGGCCAAACCTTTCCTGCAGTAGCCAAGAATCTGGCCATCCTTTCCACCAGATAATCTCCCCAGGCTCAGGCATGAGTTCCATTCAGGGACTGAGAAAGTGGTGATTACTGGTGGGGGTGGAGAGGTGTCTACTGGGGGAACAGGGCCTGGGACAGCAGCTGGGGGTCTTTCAGTGTGGTTTCTTAGACAGGGTCGGATTTCTCTTCACCCAGCCTCCCACATGGGCTGTCCCTAACCTCAGATTTGCTCCAGTCACTTTCCTCATTCTGTCCCCACTGCTGGGAAACTCTTACTCATGGGTGATGAGTCCTGTTTCACTCTTTGCTCTGGGCTTGTCTGTAAATTGAACACTCTGATGACTTATCTAGGCCTTACTCTTTGCCTTCCAGAGCTGAGGATCAAACTTAGGGTCATGAACATGCTTGGGAAGCTTTTTACCACTGATCTACATCCCCAGCCCCTGGCACTTTCTTAAGCCAAGATGACCTTGCACGGGCCTGAGTGTGGTCCCAGTCAGCCATCTTTGCCCTTCTACTACTCTGTCTACCCTTCTGACCTTCTTTTTATATTTTCTAAATGTGTCCAGTGTGATTTAACCAAATCCCATCCACTTTCATGACCCCCTGCCTTCTCTCTTTCCCCAAATTCTCTCCTGTGGCTTGGGGTACTGACTCACATCTACCAGTGACTTAGGATTGGCGTTACCCCTTCAACTGGGCCTTAGCTACATGCCTTCAGTTCCCTTTTAAAGATGTATTGATTTGATTTGCTGTGTATGAGTGCTTTACCTGCCTGTGTGTCTGTGTACCGCCTGCATGCCTGGTGCCCTTGGAGACCAGAAAAGGACATCGGATCCACTGGAACTGGAGTTACAGACTGTTGTGAGCTTCCATGTGGGTGCTGAAAGAGTAGCCAATGCCTGTAACCACTGAGCCTCCTCTCTAGCTCTCTCAATTCCCTTTTAGTTGTCGGCCAGGTGATCTCGAGAAGTCTTTGCACCTCTCAGCTTTTATGGATGTGTAAGCCAGCACTCAGTACTTCCTTGTATTGTCCTGACACTCTTGTTCTCCTACACAGCTTCCCTTTATATCATCCAGATTGTTTCCAGGACTCCTCATGGACACGCCAAGTCTACAGGTGTGCAAGTCCCTTACACAAAATAAACTATAAAAGTTACATACACATGCATAATCTCGCGTTCTTTAAAATTGCCTTTGAGCAACCAACAGCTCTCTAATTTGACTTCAAACCCCCTCAACAAGAGAGAATCCATACCTGGTACTGGAAATGTCGCTAACTACTCAGTGTTAGTGAAGTCATGGTGTTTGGAGGAGAATCTATAACCACTAACTTATGAAACCAGCATAATCCCTAACAACAACCTATAAACATTTCTTTATACCCACAGATAAGTGTAGTCTTCGCCCCTCATCAAGAAAACTTCTCTTTGCAACAGAGAGAGACCACTACAGAAAACCAGCACCAATCAAAATGCAGAGCTGTGGAGCCTGGCCCCAAGGGATACATCTGCAGAACACGACACACAAAAGGCCCAGGGACCATTGCAGAAGAGGAAACAGAAAGATTGTGAGTGCCAGAGAATCAGGATCAGGGAATTTGCCGGGAGACTTTGTTTCCTAGTAACACCAGAGTTGAACAAGGGGGACATCAACAAATGTACCAAACTGGATGGGGAAAGCCCACCAGGGCTAAATCCTACGCAAAGAACTACAGGCGACCGAGGAAAGCTGGGGGGTCAGAGAGATGGCCTTCCCCAGGGAAGGTCACACCAATTTGTTTTCCAGTGCCAAATGGTCAGCCTTGGAAACATACATACAGTATCAAAACTAAAAACACAAAAAAAAAAAAATTTAAATCTTTCCAAAAAAAATTGTTCTTGAGATTTACATTTTGCTATCTGTGCAGCACATGCATCCAGTGCCTGTGGAAGACATCGGAAGAGTCAGATTCCCTGGAGGTGGAGTCATACACCGTTGTAAACTGTCTGACTTGGGTGTGGGGAACTGAACTCTGATCCTCTGCAAGGGCCATCTCTCCAGTCCCTTGTTTTTTTTTTGTTTTTTTTTTTTTTTTGGTTTTTTCGAGACAGGGTTTCTCTGTGTAGCTTTGTGCCTGTCCTGGAACTCACTTGGTAGCCCAGGCTGGCCTCGAACTCACAGAGATCCGCCTGGCTCTGCCTCCCGAGTGCTGGGATTAAAGGCGTGCGCCACCACCGCCCGGCCCAGTCCCTTGTTTTTATTTTGAGACAGCCTCATTTTCTACCCAGGTTGGCCTGGATCTGGCGGCAATCATCTTAGCTTCCTGAGGGAAGCCCACTCAGCTCCATCTACCCCTGAATTGGTGAAGGCCAAACCTAGAGATGCAGAGAGCCAGCTGTGCTGGTCTTTGCAATGTCACCCAGCTCCCTAGCCTAGGCTCCAGGCTCCCTAGCACTTGCCCTTCCCTTTGATCATGAGCTGGCCCCCTTCTCTCCAGCCTTGGCCACCTCCTCTGTCCCCCAAGGATCCCCTCACCAGCTGGAGGGCCTCAGTCTCAAGGTTGTGAAAGAGCATGGCATCTGAGGTGAGAGCTCCTGAGACACTTTGTGAGGAGAAGAAGGAAGGAAATGTTTGCTCCTGCCATCCTCCTCGCCCCTCTAACTGCCCCCTTAAATATTTGCCTAAGCCTCCCATGGCTCAGCAAAGTGTCCTAGAATGAGGGGAAGAAAGGGAGGGCTGAGGGAAGGGAAGGAGGGGAAAGCCAGTGTCTTCTCCCCTTGGTTGTGTGCAGGTGACAGATGTAAAAGAGATCCTGCCTGCACTGCCCACCTCTCTGCCCATCCCCCAGGCTCCCACTCCCACCCGGGGTTGTCCTGGAAACCTCAAGATTGATGGCTGACTCACACACACTGGGCCTGAGCCAGGTGGGCAGTGTGCCAGCAGGAGAGCCAAGAACTGCGGGCATCGCGGGGTCCCTGTGGGCATCTCGGGGGGCCGCAGTGTCCAGTTGTGGTACTTATTCTGAACAGGAGCTACGGTTGGGCTGGCTATCATCACTAAGTCTGGAGAGAACAGCTCTGTTCTCTCTCAGGTCCTCAGTCTCTCCTGCAGGCGGCCCTGAGCCTGGGTTCTCACAGCATTGTGACTTAAAGACAACAGACACAACTTGGTTTTGTCTGTTCGGAGGCTGGGGAAAGCTGTTGTTCAGCTTTCCTGAGTGAATTTCAGATGTTTCTCAACACCTGGTAGGGGTCTTGGATTCCTTGGAAAAGAAGGGAGGACGAGGGGGAGAGAGTGATTGAGGAAGGAGGGAAACTGTCTCTTCAGCCAGGCAGACGCAGCCCCTCAACCTTGCCCCCCAGACCAGTCCTGGGCCACAGCCTTCTTTATTTGCCTTCACTGAAGCTAGTCCTCACTGTGAATACCACTCACCTAAAAAGGCCGAGAGTCAATGGCACCTGCTCTGGGACCCCTCCATCCTAGCCCCAGACTCTGAGATCCTTTCATCATCCCCCCCCCCCGACAACTTAATCCCCCATTGAGCACACACACTGTTAACTGGAATCAGCTATGAAAGGTGGGAGGAAGGTTGTCAACTCTGTCTTCCCAAACAGAAGAAAAGGAATATCCTTTCTTTGTGCTTTTGTGAACCTGTCACAGGGCAAGGAGCATGCATACAGCCCCTGTGTGATCATATGCAACCACAAGACTGCCACCTAACACAAGGAGGCTCCTTCTGTAATGTACATGAGATCTGTGTTCCCCTGGAAGCTCTGGAACCCACGGGAAGTCCTGCTTTTCTAGACTTTCCTGTGTTCATCTCTGAAATGGGACTACTGTCACCTGTCTTCTCTCCATCGCCAAGCTGTCCTGACACCCCAATGACTTCATGGACATGAAAGGCCAGTCGTCATCACCATCATCTACTTCACCCACAGGATGCCTCTCCCTAGCTAAGTCGACGACAAACTCCTCCCCCTTGTCTCTGGGTTGCCCTCTGTAACAACTGAGGGCCGTGGAAAGCCTTACAGTGGCCACTATCCCTTTCCTGCCCCCAGCCCCTCAGCTGCACGATCCAGGACAAGATTCACTCTGGCCTTTGTGTGCTGGGCAAAGCCGTGCCAGGGACGAGTGGGAATGGCTGTCCAGCTGCCCCAGCCATCCTCATTGCCCCTCCTTTCTCCTTTCCCTCCAGCTGGCATGCAGAAGGCAGCATGGGCAACTGGACCAGCAGAGGCCAGTGGGTGTCAAGAGGCAGGAGTATCCCAGTCTGGAAGAACAGTCTGGGGGACTTTAACTCAGAGCAGAGATTTCCCCTAATGGCTTGGGCTGGGACAGCTGGTGAAGATGTTTTTCTTCTTAGAGGGGGGGTCTCACGATATGGTAAGGCTGGCCTTGAACTCTTGATCATCTTGCCTTAGCCTCCTTCTAGAGCAGTGGTTCTCAACCTGTGGGTCAAGACTTCCTTGGGGGTCGGACGACACTTTCACGGGGGTCACATATCAGATATCCTGCATATCAGATATTTGCATTATGATTCATAATAGTAGCAAAATTACAGTTATGAAGTAGCAAGGAAAATAATTTTATGGTTGGGGGGTCACCACAATATGAAGCACTGTGTTAAAGGGTCACAGCATT